AAATATGGTTATGGTACCTAGGGAACTACCCTAGGATCTATGTTTTTAACATAAAAAATCCATCGCCTAGGCGACTAGGCGACGAGGTGCCCCCCCAGTCGCCTAGCCTCACCTTGGCGCCTTGAGAACTATGATGACCATCCCTTTTAGCTTTAGTTCCTTAACTATGATGTCAATTAGCTTTTTCCAATCAGAGAACTTCTTTAGCTTCAACCACTARTTTGTTAGCCCATTCCTCCTCAACATTCACCATTTTTTTGCAATTAACAATAGGATTTACTACCAATAGGCCATCCTGAGTATAACCCTGAACCTTGTCACTGAGAACGTCTCCCAACTCCTTTACATTAACTCTTGGCTTCAGTGAATTTTTAAACCATAGGTTCAGAATCTCCTACACTGAATCATAAATAAACTTTCAGCCACGACCATTCCCACCTTCTGCAAAGCAGACCATCTGCATTCTTCCTAGGTCACGGAACTCTTGTAAAGTTATGAATCTTCCTTTTGCACTTCTCCATGTTTCCACAACATACTTTATTTGATCTTCCACCAACATTCTTTTCAGATCTTTCTCCCTACTAGAAAAAACCACTTCTTCTAGAAAGCTTGAAAATCAATTCAATGATTTGGTGCCAACCAATATCACCATCAATAGCTTTGCTTCCCTTACCTTAAGGCCAGTTTCCCATTGACTCTTAGCAGTTCAAATAGAAAGTTCTTTGCTTCCACCTTCACCGATTTTCTCCGGCCAACTTTCTCCATGATTTGCTTCAAGATCTTTAGTTACTATAGATGACTTAGCTACACAAAACAATCCTCATACTGGATCATAGCTATCAAATCTCTAACCTCAAGAGAGGGTATTCATCATAAACCTTCATAATCCCTTTCCATAAGTTGATTGACTTGATTCCATATGAGGAGGATACAAACAGAATCATATCAGGGACAAACCCAAGGAGGATATTTCAATGAAATTTTGTATTCCTAGATAGTTGTAAGAGTCTAACAATTTTGATAAAGTTTAGAGTACATCCTGCGTGTAAAAGACAAAAAAATCTAGAGTTGGAAGAAAACTCAAAAACCATGAAATCTAAGGTTCAAATAGGTGAAATTTTCAGATGACTTTTAGGGGGATGAAAGTCTGTGAGGATCTATGAGTGCATAAAAAGAATAATCCCAGGGGTATAAAAATTCAAAAAATCCAATCTTGGCTTCTTTGCTGCTGCATCATTTTTTTAATCAGCAATAAAGATTGTTTCGTTAATTAAAATATGTGGAGTTAATTACAGACTAATGACCCAAAAGTCATCCCCAAGGATTACATCCAAAGTTACAACGAGGCCCAATATAGATGCTGCCTTGCAGCCCCTTGTTTGGCTAAAGTATCTGCTAACCCATTTGCACTCCTCCTGATCCACCTCAAATCAGCATTTATATCCTATACTAATCTTTCCACTTCTCTGAAGATATGCGTGAGGGTCCATAGGACATGTCTATTACATCTTGCCCAAGAGATTACAACTTTTGAGTCCCCTTCCACTTCCACCTAATGAAAACCCAACTGCTTTGCCAATCAGAGGCCCTGTAATAAAGCCAGTAACTCAGCCTTTGTTAAGTTTGTAATACCAATTGGCCCTGAATATAGAGCCGATATCTTGCATTCTGCATTTCTAATTGCTCCCCCAATTCCTGCCACTCCCGGGTTGCCCATAGAGCTTCCATCAAAATAGTTTTACTTTGTTAAACTCTGGCGGTTTCCAGTCAACTCTTAGAGTTTCCCTGTCTCTAGAGGATTGTGCTATTTCTTTCCATGCCCTTAGGATGTCAGTTACATAGAAAACTTGAAAACTGTCTAAGGTTTTTATCCACAATACAACCCTCAGTTTTATGCTGTCAATGACCTCTTCCAAAGTTCTAGATTTTCCAGCAAAAATTCTGCTATTTCTTTCCTCCCAAACTCCCCAAGAAACAGCCGTTTTGGTAGCTTTCCACATTATTCTCCCTCTCTTCTTTGGTTGCCTCAAGAAGTTAGGATTGAAAATGTCTGTCACCTCTTGAGGAGGGTCCCATCCACAAAGCACAACGTATCATCTGCAAATTGAAGAATATTCACCTTCTCTCCCCCCGAAGCAATTGCAAAACCTTCCCACTCACCTGAAGCTGCAGCCTTCTTACATAATAGAGTGAGGATCTCCATTACACATATAAATAGAAGAGGAAACAAGGGGTCACCCTGTCTAAGACCCCTGGAACTATCAAAGAAGCCTGCGGACTGTCCATTAACCAAGACTGAGAACTTTGGAGAGGTGATACAAACTTTAACCCAATTCCTCCATTTCTGCCCAAAATTCATCTGATGTAACACAAGATCAACACATCTCTAGTTCACATGATCATAGGCCTTTTCAATATCAAGTTTACAAATCAGCCCTGGGGAACCTTCTTTTTTCCTGGAATGAATGAGCTCATTGGCAATGAGAACAGGGTCCAACATCTGCCTACCCGAAACAAAAGCACTTTGGTTATTTGAGATAACACTACCAAGGACCCCTTTCATTCTCTCAGCAAGCACTTTAGCTAAGATTTTGTAGAAGCTATACAGAAGACTAATCGGCCTAAAGTCCTTAATATTCACTGCACTCAATCTTTGGAATGAGGGTTATAAAGGTAGTATTCAGACTTCTCTGCAATGATTCCCTCTCATAGAAGTCCTAGAAAACATTCAGAATGCCCTTCTCACCACATCCCAACATTTAATATAGAAAAGATTTGTAAGACCATCAAGCCTTGGAGACTTCTCATCAGCCAACAACTTGATTGCTGCTTTTATTTCCTCCTCCATGAAGGATCTTTCAATAAGAGATGACTGCACATCACTCAACTGATTAAAAGAAAGGGACCTAGGAAAAGGTCTGAAGAACCAAGACTCCTTGTACAACTTTTTATAAAAGCTAGTAGCCACTAGCTTCATATCAGTCTCACAGACACCCACCCTGCCCTCTCCCCCCAGCCTGGTAATTACAAAGGCTCTAGCTCTGGCATTTGCCATTTTGTGGAAAAAAGTGTACATTCATGTCCCCCTCTTTCAGCCAAGCCACTTTAGCTCTTTGCCTCCATTTGATTTCTTCTGACACTGCCAATTTATCAAACTACAACTTTGCCTGAGATCTTTTTAGCCTATGCTCCTCAGAAATAGGATCCAATTCTTCAGCTGAGTCGATTTCCTTTATGGTACTCAGGAGAGCCTTCTTCTTAGTATCTAAACTCATATTTTTCTCCAATTTCCAAATCTTTAGTCTTCTTTGATGGCCCCCAATTTCTTTGCCAGAATGAATGAACTGGTACCCACAACCTGCAGATCCTCCCAAACAGACTTCAACAAAGGAACAAGAGTGGCATCCTAAAACCAGGCATTCTCTAATTTGAAAGGGACTTTTGCTCTCACTCTGACACCACAAACCAGCTGAATTGGAATGTGGTCTGAAACTGGCCTAGGAAGGACAATATGCTTAAACTCTGGAAATATATCTTCCCAATTAGAAGTAACCAAAAACCTGCCCAGCCTCACAAGGGTAGGGAAATCTTGGTTGTTGGTCCAAGTAAACCGACTACCGTGAAGGGGTAAGTCTTAAAGTTCAAATCTGTTAATGAAATCAGCAAACTGAACCATATCCCTCGATCTTCTCCCTCTAGAGCTTCTCTCCTCCGCAAACAGAGTGACATTAAAATCCCCACCAATAACCCAAGGATAAGAGAAACTTCCCCTCGCCACAGCCAACTCCTCCCTCAGACTTCTATCAATAGGACCATCCAAACATCACTTAGATCAAAGATGGTTTACAAATTCACCCCTAGGCCTAGTCTAGACCTCATCTTCAACAGCCATCCTGTCCCCAAAAACTATAACATCTTTCACATGGAAACTGACAACTTTCTCATACTCCTCAGCCTGAGGATCCACATAACTCTGATAAAGAATATTTGGCTCTGCAGTCTGCACAAGCACCCAAACTCTTAAAGGACTAATTCCTTCTTATCCTGAGAATATTTCACTCAACCTATCAAAATTTGAGTCCCTCTCAATGAAAACACACTCAAATCCAATGGGAGAACAGCATACAAATCTCATGATAGAAGTCAATAAGCTACACAACGGGGGGGGTAGCCCATTCCCAACCCAGGTGCAGGCAGGATTCGATCCCAAGTCTCCGCAACGACCAGCTGGTTGGCACCTTACAATACAAAAGTGCAGCATTACTGTCTCTAAATACTACTTTTCCAGAGGAGAAGCTATTGAAGCTTAACTAGATAGAGTTTTTACAACCTCAGATCGGATCTGGTGATTGAAATGAAGGCAACAAACACAAATTCTCTGTAATGCTACCACTACTACTACTATACATAACTTCAGATCTTCTACAAAAATAACCTCAAGACAGTAAAGTCCTTACCCAGAATAGCTTACTTCTCAATACTTTTTTATTCTAAAAGTAAATTTTCATTAATAGAAGAATATTACAATGCAACATTGAATAGTTTTCACCACATAATACAAGCATGTTTCAAGATAAACAAAACTTGCAAAAGCATATCAAAGATTCCCAATGATCAAGCCCACAATTGACCATAGGTTGTTCCCAAGATTCACTCTACTAACATCATTCAACTCCGAATGGAAAAATGTCATCAAACAGATATCAGTAATTATCTTCCTTCTTGTTCTATGCTTATCCTCAAATACGCACCTGTTCCTTTTTTTCAAAGCACCCCAACAGACTGCAAATGATATGATACTCCATAAGATTCTAGCCTTTTTACTACCTGAAACCTTAGGCTACTTCAAAAATATTTCCAATGGAACATTTTGACTTGGTCTCCATATATTAAAAAAAATTCTAGAACTGAGCACCCCCCCCCAACACACACACACACAACAATAAATAAAAAAGATGCCTCATGCTCTCCTTTTGTTTCTTACACATGATGCAATTATTTGGAAACTGAAAACCTCTTGATTTCAAATATTCCAGTGCCGGTATGCTGTCCAGGTCGATTAACCAAGCAAAAGCCTCCACTCTTGGTCAGATCAGATTACACCATACAGCCATCCAACTGATTTCTTGTTAGAGCTGTATGAAAGGATTTACAGTAAATTTTCCATCCCTGCATTCTTTCCATCATCATGTATCTGTAGAATTAGAGCCGATCTTCACAACTTCCAATTTATCAAGACCCTCAACTCTCTTGCCAATTTATGTGTTTATTTTGTGTGGGAATTGACAGCTTTTATATCCTTTTTCTCTGTCTACTATATTTTTCTCTTGTAGTCTATAAGAAGGAATAATAAGTTACAACTAAATAATCCTCCACAACACCCGAAATGGATGAATAAGCTCAAAACAAACATTAGGCACTTTACCTCCACGCATCCAGCTTTACTTCACATGAGTGGATAAAGCTAGAATTCTGATAAGGATAAAGAGCTCTATCACTAATCCCAATAACAGATTGACAGAATCTGTTAAGCAATAAATGATCCTTTACAACAGGTATACAGCACTCGAAACTTGATCAACTCTACATAGAAACAAAATAATAGATCGGAACATAAAGAATATACGTGTGCAACTACTAGAGCTCAACATCTCAGCAACAAACTTGAATAAAATCACTCAAACATTTTCCAAGTGCCAACGCTACGACCGGGAGGGGACGAACCTACGCATGGATAATCATAACATAATAACTAATTGATTTAGGACTATACTAATCTTTTGCAAGTGAAAATGAAGATATTAGGGACACGAATAAGCAAAACCTGAATCGAAATGCAAGCTTGCTCGATTGCTTGCAGGGTGGATTGAAGTTGGGCCATGTCGGCTGGTCTCCCATTGGACAAACTATGCATCTTCTCTCTTCAGATTCGAAGAAAGATTGGAGCAGAAATGGAGATTGAAAGGCGCCCAGTCAGCCGCAGGGTTCTGCTAAACACAGTTGAGAGTTGAGACAACGGGGTTGTCGACGAGAGAGAGTTGCGGCCCTTCTGTCAGCCCCAGTAAAAATGAAGTAAAAATACATAAATAAATAAAATAAAATAAAAACGTAAATTTGTTAAACTACCCTTGTGATTTAGCTAATTGACTAAATATACTCTTACTGTTTGAAAATTAACTGACGCTATCTCAACTGTTTCTAACAATTGACTAATTCTTTCCTTACCGTTAGCATCCGTTATTATTCCATTAAAATCAATATACACGTGAAACGACATGGTGTTTTAAAATTCTTTTAAAACCCAATATTACCCCCTCCCTCGTCCCAAATTAATTTTCAAGAGAATCAAAAAAACACCATTCATTGTCTCTTCCAACTCTCGGCACAATTGCGACAAACTAGCATTGACCCTTTCCACCTCCCATCAGGTCTCTCTCTCTCCCCTCTTCCCTCTCTCTTCCCCCTCTCCTTCTTCTTCTCTTTCTCCTTCTTCCTCTTCTTCACCTTCCTCCGTCTTCATCTCCGTTCATCATCTTCTTGACGGTGAACAGAAAACTACCGCCAACGAAACCGTATTGGTAGGCCGGAGCTGTATAGTTCGGAAACCAAGGTGCTTCTACTATGTGAATTTTCTTAAAAGTAAACGATGATCGCTGCCTGTGTTTTCCGTCCTCCCAATAAAATTTAATTTTCTTCCTCTGATCTCTGCCAAATCTAGCAAAGCTTTCTATATCTTTATTGGACGTTTCAGCTTCAATAATCCAATCGGTTTGACCTCAAATGTCGGACTTCTGAAGGTAATGATTTGTATTGTAAAACATATATTTCCCCACTAGAAGTTTCTCTCTCTGAATCTTAGTATTCATGTCGAGATCCTCCGTTTGGGATAGCAATGGTGCTTTTGTCTACTTTTCAAGAAAGGCTCAATGGAAGAAACTAGAAACCAACGCCTATCTCTTCTTCAAGTTTAGGAACTCTCCCTCACCTTCATTCTCTCCCTTTGTGAAAACCCTAACTTTGCCTCCTTTTTTCTTCTTCACCTCAGGCTAAGAAAGAACTTCAAGGCAATAAATCCTTTCTATTAATAACCAAGATCCAAGAGGTCAGAGCCATGGAGCAATGGTGTCTCATGCTCGAGTAGAAGAATGCATCGTTGAACTTCAAGATCTTAGCTCACAAGACTGAGATCGAGATGCTTGAGGCCAAATACCAGGTTGCAGCCCAGCAATTCAGTGAGCTGAAGAATGAGGTTGATGTTTTATGAGTTGAAGAGTTTTGAAATGGAAAAGTTCAGGAGACAGGTGGGAAAATATTGTTTTGGCTTCTTGTTTGACCTGCAAATGTTGGACTTTTGAAACCACTCGATTGTATAGAAATGAACGAAGCTTTGCATTTTCAGCTTTTCCAATAGGATCAGCAAGTGTATTTTCTCTGTTTTGTTTTTCTTCCTCCTGGTCTCCTACTCTCTGCCATCTCTGGTTCCAGATCCTAGAGGCCATCAGTGATCTCCCATACCTGAAGACTCTCAACTTCAATGACATCCCCAATTTCATAGTTCCATCCCCTGCTTCATCACAAAACTTTAGAACCTCGAAATACTGCGCATATGGAACACTAGCTTCTCGGGTCTTATCCTGGATTTCTAAGGCAACTCAAGAATCTCCGGTCTTTATTTGGGCTACAACCAACTTTCTGGTTCAATCCCGACTTTATACTTCCAAGAGCTCCAACAGGGTTTGATGAATCATCATTTCTTTCCCCTTTTTCCTATTTTATATTAAAAATTTGAAGAAGAATAAAGGGTAAAATAATCTTTCTTTATCTTTTTGTCAATCGGGTGTTAACGATAAGGGAAGTATTGGTCAATTGTCAGTAGCATTAATCAATTTTCAAATAGTAAGAATACACTTAATCAATTAGCTAAACTATAAGAGTAGTTTAAGAAACTTATCCAAAACTAAAAAAGATAAATTACAAAGACCCTGTACTATAGTGTTAGTATTCATTTTTTTTTTGCATCAAACACCCTTTTGAAGTTTGGCCATTAGATAAAGACCCTCCGTTACCGTTTGTCAGTTCACTATTTAAAGTTTTTTAAATACACAAAATACTCTTTTATTTGATTTATGAAATCACCTTATTATATTGTTCATTTCCTCCGCTCCCCTTTCTCGTATCAATCAACCACACTTTTACACCTTCCAATTCATGCCAAAAGCTTCAAGCTTGTTCTCAACTCACCACTCTTCTCTCTCTCTCGAATTCAAAATGGCCCTTATGTTCTTTCCAACTTGGAGCCATCTTGCATTTTTTCACATTAATTCCAATTTTTCATTGGTTGCATCACTTTTTCTTTTTATTGTTTTCGGTTCAACAATGGAAAACAAAGCATTGTTACGCAAGAAGAATAAGAACAAGCTTTCTCTACTTTCAGTGAGTTTTTTAAAACCGGACCGAATAAGGAACCATTATGGGACTGGTTCCCAGGTTGGATGGACCATTATGACTTAAAAATAAAAAATAAAAAATAAAAAATAAAAAATAAACATCAAAAAGCATTGTTTGGGTTGACGGTTTGACCACCTGGGTTAGTAGGTTGCTGACCAGATCAACGGTTTTTTACCAAAAAAATGGTTTTAGGGTGAAATGGAATTGATTACCTAACTTGTTCTCGGTAGACCTGTTCATGGGCCGGGTCGGGTCGGGCTCGGGCTGGGCTTTCACTTGTCACTAATGAAAATATACTAGGCCCGAGCCCGAGCCCGGCCCAACCAACGGGCCTATAACTTGGGCCTGAGCCCGGCCCTGGTAAAAAGACCGAAACCCGAGCCCGATCCTGAAGCCCGACCTAATTGAAAAAAAAAACAATTTTCCCTATTCAAATTAGAATTAAAAATTCAGATAGTATTTTTTTYWWTTWAATGAACAATGGGCCTACAAGATGGTATTTTTCCCTTTCTTTTATATTTTAAAACACAATTTTACATTCTTAAATCAAAAAATTTATTCAAATTGACATAATCATATAACTAATTTTAAGTTTAATATTACATCGGGCCGGGCCGGGCTCGGGCCGGGCTATTTTGACAAAACCCGAGCCCGGCTCGAATTTATTGTGGGCCGGGCTTTTTGGCCCGACTTTAAGCCCGTGGGCCTATAAACATGTTCAAGCCCGTCTGAGGGTCGAGCCGGGCCGGGCTGGCCCGTCGGGCCACCCGACCCATGAACAGGTCTAGTTCTCGGGTTTTCTAGTCCAACCATCCGGTTTGGTCCAGTTTTGAAACCCATGCCTTTTCAATAATGCCCATGCTCTTTATCTATTTCCTTCTCTTTATGCTTTAAGTGGCATTTGATAAATCTAAAATTTCATATCTGAAAAGTTAAAAAGACATTTTCTGTCTGGAATTTGAAAAGAAGCATATATGCTTTTCTACTTTTTAGAGGCTTTGAATCCATAAGTTTGTTTGTGTTGGATCAACCCTTTACTATATGAAATTTATTGATTTTACTATTTTACCCTTAAAACATACTAATTGGAAATGTTGAGTTCAATTTGCATTATCTCATAAAAAATAAATTTCAACCTCAAAATAATACTGAAACAATACAAATAAAAAATAAAAAAATTAATAATTAATAATTAATAAATGTAACGATTAAAATTAAAAAATAATTAATGACTATAAAAATATTAAAATAATTAATAATTTTCATAAATAAAAATTAAAATAATTTTTAAAAATTAATGAAATTATTAAAAATGAATAGTTAATAAAAACAATTAAGAATTAATAAATAACACAAGTAAAATTAATAAAAAATAATTAATGTTTAATAAAATATATTAAAATAATTAATAATTAAAAATTAGTAAAAATAATTTGTAATTATTATTATTATTACTATTATTATTATTATTATTATTATTATTATTATTATTATTATTATTATTATTATTATTATTATTATTANATTATTATTATTATTATTATTATTATTATTATTATTATTATTATTATTATTATTATTATTATTATTATTATTATTATTATTATTATTATTACTCATAGAACCGTTGCTGCTGCAAGTTGTAGTGGCAATGGCGGGAAGACATGGAAGAGAGAGAGAGAGAGAGAGAGACGGCCAAAGACAGAGACAGAGATAGAGCGGCCGCTGCAAGTTGCAACAGTGGTGACGGGAAGACAGGGGAGAGAGAGAGAGAGAGGGAACTGTCGCTGCTTGTTCAGGTTGCATAAAGGGTTCAAAGAGAGCTTGATGGCGATACATGGAGCTTGTTCAGGTCACGATGAGGGTTTGAATGACCTAATTTTTGAGTTATATGAGGGACAAATCATGTCATTAAAATCTCTTTGAGGATACTAATATCTTTTACACACCTTTGAATTACATTTGAGCACATTAAGGACCTGCTCCACCTCTTACGAATTAAGATATGAAATTGGATTTCAGATCCAGTAATAAGAGGGCATATCAAACGAAGATTGCCTCTGGAAAGCAACGTTTTCAGATTCAGACATCTGAAAAGTTGAAAAGTGCAATCAAACGCCACCTTACTCTCCTTTTTTTAGTTTTTGTTATTTCTCCCTTGTACTTATCTGTTTTTATGAGAAGTAGAGGTTCATTATAACAACCGGAGTTGCATCAACTATGATCAACCCCAAAAACGCCAATATCCCATATAAAGCAATTAATTGGTTGCCAATTCTCTAATCCTGAACTTCAACAGGACTAAAGGTCCTTATGGGTATCCACTAATCTACACACAGTATTTAAGGGAATCTAGGGTTTTTACACCTACACAAACTCTAGGAATAGTGCTCTCAAACCTTAAGAGCATAGTGGATAAGAATATGAATGCAGTAGTTATGGATTGCATTGTCTTGGAAAGGTTCAGCTCCAGATGCCCATAATGGCGGAGTGGAATTGATTCGACTATTACTAGTTAAGGGGTGAAATAGAACCAGTTTCCTGGATGGTTTTGGGGCATAATGGTTTGACTATTTGGGTCGATGATGGTTCAAAAACCATGGTTTGGCAATGGCCCACTTTATTATGTATTCGTCCCTACTTCCACCCACATATTATAGGTTTAGCAAAAAGTTGGGGGAGGGGGGGAGGACCCCTGCCTTTTATATTAGGCTCCACTAAAGGGAAGGGAGATCCATCATATGGATGGCCGAACCATGTAGGGTGGCTGGGCGAAATTTCTAAAATTTTCTTTCTCCCTTCCAGGAATCGTATTCCCTTATTTAAAAAAACTGTATTTTTCAAGGTTCGTTCTTGAAACAAACCGGACCAGATCTATAACCAAAGGAGGGAGGGATATACCTGATACGGAATCCACAAACATAGCTCCCACTGTAGGTGTTCACGCCCAAAGAGTTCACCAAATCCTGCCTCCACTAAAGATGATACAGCTTAGGATGAAGCAAGATCAACAAAGTTGTTCTTCAGCAAGAACTACAATCATTCAACAAGGATCACGCAGGGGATGTGAGCACAACTTCATATATATTTTTTCTAGAAAAAATCAGAATCAAGATCGAATCTTGATCAGTCCAAGACTGTGGAGATCGAACAAGGTAGGGCGACAAGAACAGAGGAAAGAATTGGATTTTGCAAAAGTGTTTAACAGAAGGAATTCACCCTCTATTTATAACCTTCCTGGATTAGCTTCCTAATCTTATCAGGAAATGATTCTTTGATCCAAATCTTTATTTGGATCTGAACTCTTTAGTGGATAAGACTTATCTTATCCTCTTGTTGATCCAGATTCGAATCTAAACTCAAATTCGTCCATATTTAATTAACCAAATTAACCCAGTTCAAAATGGGATTTAAGCCCATTAAGTTATTAGGCTCACTTCCCTTTCAATTTGCTAGCTAGCTTGGTTCTCTTTGTATGGCGTAGGACCCTAACATTGATCTCCACAAAAGCCATATGGGTTCAGCCTAGCCTCTGTTACGAGGCTTGGCTGAATTCACTATTGAACACAGTGAACCCCTGAGCCCATTAGTTTGTAGCCTAACATTTACACTAAATGGTCCTTGGGTCCAGCTACCTTATGAAGGTCCAAGGACTATGGACTTAAATGAGATTAATACATCAAGTATATAAATCCTAAATGGTCTTACACTTAATCTCTCAGTCCATAATGATCAAACACTGCCCAACAAGAGAGGACCTCTCCCTTGGATACAAGGTACAGTGTCACACTCTCTACTCAGGATGGACCACGGGAATTAAAGCCTTTGCAAACCTTTTTCATAAAACCATAATATATATATATATATATATTGCAATACAAACCGACAGTTTAGGTTTCCATCAAAGAGAGTGTTGTCCCTGATCATTCACTTTGTTTGACAAAGGGGCTGATTCTGTCACTATGATCACTCACTCAGATGAATTCT